ATGAGATTATTATATTTTCTGGATCAATATGTCTATATAAAAAGCACTGAATACTTTAAATTTAAAGAGGTCCAGTAAGTTTCTGAGTTTTCTTTCTTTTTAGTTTTCAGTCACCATTATCTATTTTTTAAATAAAGATTATTTCTTTAAAAGCATTTTTTAGACCACCTAGCAAACTATACTATGAAATGAACAAGCGAATCTATATTTTTTCTGTAAGTTTTTTATTCCATTCAGAAAAAAAATCTCTAAGTTTTAATAATCCTCTTTGCCATGAAGTTCAGGAAAAAACATATGCTGTGTCTGAGATAAGGGGATCTTCAGTTGGCCCAGTCTTTCTGGTTCTTAAACAATTCTTAGATTGCAATGACATGGATTCTTGTATTTCATCCACCAAGGGCTTGCAAATTGTTCCTGCTCCTTTGTTGAAAAAAATCAGTTGTCTTAGTTTCATTCAGAGCTATTAAACATCATGTTTTCCAAAAAATTACACATTAATCTATAAAAACAAAATATTCTAGTTGTTCTCTAATTGTTGCCACATTTATAGAGGAAGACGAGTGTGCCAAGCCTGACCGGGGAGGCTGCGAGCAGCGTTGTGTGAACACACTGGGCAGTTACCAGTGCTCGTGTGAGCCTGGTTACGAGCTGGGACCTGATAAAAGGACCTGCGAAGGTAGCGCTGGCTTTGCACGTGATGTTCCCTGCCCAAAACCCCTGCCCATTTCTCTCTTTCGTGTAGTCTCATTCTCTCTTTCTGCCTCCCTCTTCTACTGGAATAAAATGCACACAGTTGTGAAGAAAATGCAATTCCTTCAAAACAGAAGACATTGTAAACCAGATAATAATAAAGCAATGTGGCTGTTATTTCTGTGGGACTCCTAAAAATAAATAGTTTGTATTTTTTTAAAAATCTACCCAAAACATAAAAGTACAGGTAGAGTTTTTAAGTATATTCATAAATATGGTAATATTCATATTAGTTGACATACATACACACATTTACATACATATCCATATATACACAAAGGCAATTAAAAAGCCCAGTTATTTAGCTCAGCCTTGGCTCCCTAGGATTGATTAGGAACTGTGTACAATATGTGTTCTTTTCATTTAACTTGCTTTTGAATACCCTAATTTTGCTGATTTCACTATCAATAGGAAAGAGCTAAAATAAATAGTACTTTTTTTTTAATTGAAGTATAGTCAATAGCATGTCTTTTAAAGGGGAAGAAAACCAGTTGTTAAATGGAGTATTTGGAATAACAAACATGCTCTATTTCCTATGGCTGATCTTGCCTACTGGCTCAAATAACTCTTTCCAGGAGTTGCTTGTCTTGGAAAAGAGAGTTTGAGGAACTAAACTTCTGATTTTGATCTTACTACATCAGACTATATTGTGCTTTACATAAATCTTTTTACTAATTTTCACAACCACCATGTGAAGTAGATATTATTACACACATTTAAAAGAAAAGAAAACTGACCCCCAGTTTTCTTTCTATTGCTTGTCCACTTTAAAGTGATCTAAAATGTAGTGCAGCCGTCATTTGTTTGGTTCCAAAGCTACAAAATAATCCTTTATAAATGAGATGAGATGAATTTGAAATAGTTGTCCTGAAGACTAAGGAAGAGAGACTGCAACTTTCTAGATTTTGAAAAGTCCAGAAGAGAGTTGAAATTTAATGCTGGGATGTTTGATTATCAATGGAAAGGTGCTTAGAAGGGGGTGACTTTATATAGAGAAACCTTTTTCTTTCTTTCTAGCGGCTTGTGGCGGACTTCTTACGAAACTAAATGGCACCATAACCACTCCAGGCTGGCCCAAAGAGTACCCGCCCAACAAACACTGCGTGTGGCAAGTGGTCGCACCAACACAGTACAGAATTTCTATGAAGTTTGAGTTTTTTGAATTGGAGGGCAATGAAGTAAGTGTGAATAATAAGTGCAATTTTTTATGTTGCGTTTCGGGAATCCCTAAAGGCAATCTGGTAAACTAAAAAGAAAAAAAGAGAGAGACAGAGAGAGGAAGGAAGGAAGGAAGGATGGATAGATGGAAGGAAGAAAGGAGGGAGGGAGGGAGGGAGAGAAGGAAGATACATTTCAGGAGTACAATCGTATAGATGCTGTAGTCTTTCTTTGCTCTGTTTCTCATTTCTGCAACTGCTTATAATTCCTGTTGGCATTGAGTGATATTTTAGACTGTTTCTGGGCGATTGAAAATTCCTCAGGGAGAGTTTTTTATTTAGTGTATGAACATGCAGCATTTTCCTCATGTATTAAAGTACTATGAAAACATTAGGGTCATGTCACATAGACTGTTCTAGAAAAAACTAACCAAAATTCACGTGTTAAGTCATAACAAAATTACCTGTTCAGGAGAACCTGGTATATTTTACTTGTGAAAATGGGTATATTTTCACTATATAAGTAGTTTTTCACTATGAATGTGCTCATGGTTTACAAGTAAAGATTAATTTCTTAACCCCAATAAAAGATGCGTTTAGTTGACACTGTCTTTCTTTTACAAAATACAATTTGCTGTAATAAAGATCCAGTTTTCTGTCGTGTATGTGTCTTGGTCAACACTGGTTCAAGCCCAGAGAAAATGTATCAAATGTTTGTTTTGAGCTTTTCCTACTTTCTGTTGTTTTTCTCTTTCCCCCAACAACTTTCGTTCTGTGTTTATTTTAAAATGAACAAGATTCAAAACTTCTAATATGATAAAATTTCCTTCTAAAAATGATTTTTTATTTGCTATATATCTGTTGAATACTTGCAAAGAAGTGAGAGAACAGAAATGTAATGTTTTGTGTCTGGGCAATAATGTTGGTAATATTTGTGGGTTTTATACCATAATTTGATCTTTGTGTATGTATCTCTGCTTCTTTTTCCTCCCTCCTACTTTTTCTTCTTTCTTTTTAATTAATTTTTGAAAATTCTGCTTGTAGTAGTCAAGGCACTTCTGTGCCTTTTTTCATCTCTTATCAATGGCTTTGAGGTAAAAAAGATGTTGCAGACTTTTATGTTTCCTTAAAGGAAATTCAAGTCTGAAGTGTGATGAACTTGTATTTCAAAGAATTGTAGAAGTTTAGAGCTCGGCAGACCTTTTGAGATCTTCTTTACATCATGTGTAAGTTTTATGATGGGAAAAACTATAATTTATATTTCTAACATATGTTACCCACATGACACATCATTTTTCTTTAATAATTATCTGAAATTTGGGGGAATATTAAAATGAAGAAAATATTTTCATAGTAATCTTAGAAAAGCTTTCCTATGAGCTACACTTTTTGAAAATAGGAATCTTCCTGCCAGTTCTGTGACATAAGGTGAGCTAAGCATTGAATGGCTTCTACTTCCTCAGTTTCCCTAAAGCTATTAGTTGTGTCAGAAATGACTTTTTAAAAAAAATAAACTGTGCGTCAATTAAAAAGCAAACAAACAATGTATTTAAAATATGGGCAGAAGAACTGAATAGATATTTTTCTAAAAGAGGAAATGCAGATGGCCAACAGGAACATGAAAATTTGCTCAACATCACCAATATCAGGAAAGTGCAAATCACAGTGTGATATCATCTCATACCTGTCAGAATGGCCATCATCAAGAAGAACACAAATAACAAATGTTGGCAAGGGTGTGGAGAAGGGAGAACCCTTGTACCCCATTGGTGGGAATGCAAGTTGGTGCAGCCACTATGGAAAGCAATATGGAGGTTTCTCAAAAAATCTAAAGATAGAACCACCATATGGCCCAGCAAGTCCACTCCTGGGCATATATCTGAGAAAAACAAAAACATTAATTAAAAAAGATATATATACTCATTTCAGTGATTTTATTCTTCAACTCTGTTTGGATATTCTGTATATTTTCCAGCTCTTTGCTAGAAACTTCACTCTGTACATCTGTGCTCCTTTGAGTTCTCCCATCATCTTGGCCATCATTACTTTAAACTCTTTCTCAGATAAATTGCCTGTCTTTTCATCACTTATTTCCTCTTCTGGCATTTTATTTTGTGTCTTGGTCTGGGAGATATTCCTCTGCTGCCTCATATTGTCTGTCTTTCTGTTTGTATCTTTAGGCATGTTAGTTACGTTTCTCCTCTGTGGGAGACATCCTGTACGTCTCAGCAGTACACGCTTCCCTTGTCACCCGAGGGCCAGGTTCCAGCCAGTTCCAGGGTAGAGTCTGGCCTGTGTCTGTGGATTCCTTCCACAGACTTTGGGATTGTTGTTTTCTTATTTCTGGTGTCTACCCTCTGGTCGACGAGGCTGGACTAGAGGCTTGTGCAGGTTTCCTGGCAGGAGGAGTAAGTAGGTGCCTGCTGGGTGAAGCTTGATCCTGGCCCTCTGGTGAGTAGGGCCTTGTCTAGAGGAGTCTGTGACTCAGGAAGTCTGCTGATGGGTGGGGCTGTGTTCCCACCCAGGATGTTATTTGGCCTGAGGCTTCCCAGCACTTAAGCCTTGGGCCATTGTGTGGGGCTGGGTCTTGGTGCTAATGATCCAATCAAAATGTCAGCCTCCAGGAAAGTTCACGTAGATGAACAGTCTCTCTTGGAATGTCCACCACTAGCTTTTATGTCCCCTGGGTGAGCCGCAGCCATCTCCTACCTCCCC